ACTCTTCATGTGAATAAAATCCCAGGTTCAAACTCAGCATAAAGATCCACAAATTCTTCTGGTGATATTGAATACATACACATTATGGAATACGACAGTCCCCAAATAAGTGAAGCCGAAGATCACTCAAAGGGCAATGAAAAGGTATATGGCTACTGTGAGACTACAACATATTACAAAGAATCATGCAGAAGTAACATAAAGATGGCATCAGAGAAATACTCAACTAGAAAAAAGACACAGGCTAATCATGTAGCAAGAATGATGGATAACTGAAGGTCAGCCTGTGTGCAATCCAGTAGTCTGATTTGATTAGGAGTAATGTGAAGTAAGACTGGAAAGGTAGGCTGGAGTTAGATTGTGAAGGGTCTTAATTGCCAGGCTACAAAGCCTGTATTTTATCCCAGAAGAATAAGGAGCAAATTAAGAGTTGTTGAGCAAGGAAGTCAGATCTGTGCCTCTGAAAGATTATTTTAGCACCTTTATTGGGGATGGATTGGAGAGGGCAAAAACTGAAATAAGAGAGGCCAGTTAGGAATCTATTGTAGTAGTCCACAAAGAATTGATGAGAGCTTAAACTATGAAGGTGACTATGGGAGTGGAGAAAAGATAAACTCTTCCAAGACTTAGAATCTTGATATGAGAGGAAATGACAGACTATCAGAGTTAGAAGGCCCTTAGATGCTATTAAATACAGACCAGTAATCCCTTCCACAATGGGGCTAGCATCTAGCCTTCAAATAATCTCTCCCACCTCACAACTCTTACAGCCCTTCTTTGTACTTCTCTCTCAGAGAGCAATTCTAATTAGACTTAATAGTCATTTTCATATTAATTATTTCTCCAACAAGAATAACTCACATTTACATTGTACTTCAAAGTTTACAGAATACTTTCTTCATAATGGTAAACTTATTGATAGTCAATAAAATAGTATACAATTGGGAATAAACTTATTTGACTAAATGATACCAGAGCAACAGCAATTGTGCCTTATGATCTGTATAGAACACTAGAACTAAATTTCAATCAACTGAATTATTTAATTAATATTTACACTAGCCCTATAAAATTTGAAAATTTTGATATCTATGGAGTTAGAAGGTAGGTAAGGAGTAGAGATTACTTCCCCGGTTTTATAGAAAGAAGAACTGAAGTTTACAGAAGTTAATGATTTACCTTCCTGTCACACAGTGAAAGCCTTTTCAGAACAGAACCCATCATCACTTAATTTTCACTTTAAAGTGTGCCCTGGTGAATAGACATATGAATAGATGCCCAGGTGATTGAGAGAAAAGAGTCAGATGCAAGGATGACTTTGAAATTTTATTATTTGCTTAAGCTTCTTTATTCATAATTATATTACAAGCAAATTTCAGCAAAAGATTAGTTTAATTTTTAATTGAATCCAACAATACACTTAAGCTAAAGACTAAATGCCGATGACTGTCTGCAGCAAATGGAGACAGCTATCAAGTATGTGAATTATGCAGAATCAGGACTCCCCATTCATAGCTTTAAAAAAAATCTCCAAATATACTAGCCTATGGTGAGGATAAGGAGCTCCACTACATGGTATAAAATGTCTTCTCAGGTTCCTAATACCCATAAGAAACTTTGAAAAAAGACAAACTGCACACAGGCTGACATGACTGAAATAACTGAACAGCAAGGACAGCGTCCCTCTATCACATAGTTCGTGGAGTGGAGTAGGGTGTAAGAAAGTCTGGAAAAGTAGGAAGAAGGTTATAAAGGGCTTTAAAAGCCAAACAGAAAATTTTATATTTGATTCTAGAGGTCATGGAAAACCATTGGTGTTTACAAAAGAGGAGTGACAGGGCCAGATCAGCACTTTAGGAAGTTCATTCTGATAGCTGAGGGGAGGATAAATTGAAGGGGGGAGAGACTTGAGGCAGGAAGACAAATCAGAAGGCTACCACAATAATCCAGGCAAGAAGTGATATAGGCAGGTACCAAGGTGGTGGCAGTGTCAGAGGAGAGAAAAGGGTATATATAAGAAATGTAAAACTAACAGGACTTGACAAGTGATTGTATATGGTGCCCATGACAGTAATACAAAAGTTAGGAAAGGAAAGTTTGGGAGAAGGGGTGGAGGGAAGGATAATGAGTACAGTTTTGAACATGCTGATTTAAAATGTCTATGGGACCTCCAGTTTGAGATGTCCAATAGGCAGCTGGAGATGCAATACTTGGTGCTAAGAGAGGTAAGGACTAGCTTAGTAGATCTGAAAATCATTTACACAAAGAAAATTGAATTCATGGCAGTTGATGAAATCACCAAGCAAAATAGTAGAGGAAGAAAGCACAAGACACTCATGGTTAGTGGATGTGACCTGGATGAAGATCCAGTAAAGATTCAGACTGAGTAAATCAGATAGGTGGGAGAACCAACAGAGAAGATTATCCAGAGAAAAGATAGTATCACGGAGAAGGGGACTGACTGTGGAAGAGAGAAAAAGAAGGATGAGGATTGAGAAAAGGTCATTAGATTTGGAAATTTAGAGATCACTGGCAATTCTAAACACAGTTTTGGTTGAATGAAGTCAAAAGCCAGATAGAAAGACTACAGAAGAGAGAGTAAAAAGAAAGGAAGTGGAGGTTCCTATTGTTGATGGCGGAAAAAGAGTTTAGCCACAAGAGAGGGGAGATATGGTATGATGACGAAAAGAGATGGATGGATAAAGTAAGGATTTGGTGAAGATAGGGTAAATATGAGCATAGTTTGGAAATAGCTGGGAAGAAGAGGATGATAGAGATGGAACAAAGAAAATCTGGAGGGGAAACGGTAGAAAGAGGAGAAAGGCACATCAATAGTCCTCTCTAAACCATCTACCATGTTCAATGCCTGCCTGTCAATCTGATGGGAAGATGAGTTGTTACTCCCTCCTCCAAATCCATTCCCCCGAGATATCAGGAGCTCTTTGCCTGACTCCTACAGCCCCAAGTATGTTGTGGCCACTTAGTAGGCATGATGGGAAAGTTGGTAATTCTTCAAACTAAGTATGAAGTGAGAAGGTAGACAGATCTCAAAATTCCGCAAGAGACTAGAGGCTAAGGGTGATGCTTGAGGTTCCAGTTTGAGGGCTTGAAAGCAGAATTTCTGAAGAATGGCATGTCCCTACTGTCCCTCATACAAGGCTAATATGTCAGAGCCTAATCCCTAAGGTATTATTCATGATATGCATACCACTTCCCATATCTATTTCATCTTTCTCTTCTTTGCTATTATATTTCTTGGAAAAAAATTGTCTTCATTCTTAATGCCTCTACCCTCTCAGTGCCCCTACTATTCAATCTCTTATGTTTGTGTCTTAATTACTCTACCAAACCCAACTGTAAGGTTACAAACAACCTCCTACTCATCAAATCCAATGGCCTTTGCCCAGTCCTTATTGACTTCTCAGAAATTTCTGATACTATTTAACAGTAGCATCTGCTCTGTCCTCCAACTTTAGACCTACTAGACACCCTTGGTTCCCTTTCTATCTTTTTCTTAATCACTCTTTTTGTGTCCTCCAGGTTTTCATCATCTTCCCAATTCCTAGATTGTTAACTAAGTTCTTAGTCTCTTCACATATACTCAAATTTCTTGGCACCCTAATGGCTTAAATTCACACCTTTGTAAAGGTGAGGGTAAACATCAGGTACTTAGCTTACCGTGTTATTTGTTTTGTTTATCTAGCACTATCTTTCCCATACTAATAGTTACAAAATCCTTACTGAATTAAAAATCTCATGAAGTAGAGATGATTTAAAAAATGTATTGTCAACAATGTTATAGCCATCTTTATATTGTTGTGTGCCACCCTCCAACCCCCAATTTATCACCAGGTAGCTCTGAAATTAGGTAGGAAGCTCTTCTGATTGACTCAAAGTTGGCCAAACCCCATAGGATTTAAAAGAACTTGCACTTAGCTGTCTCAGTCTGAAAACTTAGGATCACCTCTATGCCTCAAGGATGCGATGAAATACTGCTTTCATGGAGCAATTAGTTGTACTTAACATAAAAACTCCTGGAGAATGTATTAACTTATGCAAAGAGGTTTTTTTTTTTTTTTGCAAGAGTTTCACATAAATGGGATTCAGCACAAAACTAGGTTGACCATATAATCATTTAAATATAATGTATTGTTGCCAAAACTGTCCTGGTTTTATGGCCTTCGGGAAGAAACTAATGTTTCTTCATCTGAATGAGGATAATTATACCTTCTCCCAAATCTCCTTTCAAGACAAGTTATGTGAGGATTAATTAGATTATATGTAAACATCTGTCCATATAACACTTAAATATGCAAGTGCAGAAATATTTTACAGTACTTCAGGAGTAGCTCCCTACTCATGAATTTTCTGCCCCAATTACTAAGGCAGTATTCAGGTTAAATCCCTGCCTGGACAACTGACCAAAAAACCGTAAAATGACAAATGTTAGAGGGGGAAAACAGGAAGGGGGAAAGGCTGTGAGAAAAAAGGCACCTTGATGCACTATTAATGGAGCTATGAATGAGTCTAACTCATTTGGAAAGCAATTTGGAACTACGCCTCATTAGTTATTACCCTGTACATACCCTTTGGCCCAGCAATATCACTATTAGGTCTTTACCGCCCCCCCCCCCAAAAAGGGATCAGAGAAAAAGAAAAAGGATGCAACGCACGAAAATATTAAGATGCCTTTTTTTTTTTCCGGTGGCAAAGATCTGGAAACGGAGGGGGTGTCGACGTATAATTCTGTGCAGATATAATAATATAAAATAATTCTCGGAGTGACGAAAGTGAAGCCCTGGTCGGCACAGCGGGGGTCCACAGCGCAGGGCGCTTCCGGGGAAGGCGGGGGGGGGGGGACGACAAGGGGGGTTTCCTCGGCGCTTCTCCGGCCGCGGCCGCCGAGGCCCAGCGGGGGAGGGGGTCCTCGTCCCGGGGGTTCCGCGGCCGGCCGAGCTCGGGCTGGGTCCAGGGGCGGCCCGGGCCGAGGCAGCACTTACCGAGCGCTGGGCACGTCCACCGGCCCGAGGCTCCCGCCGCCGGCGAGGGCGTGGCTGCTGTATTTCTCCTCCATCCCGCGCGTGTCTCAGGAGCCGCCGCCGTCGCCGGCCCCGCCGCGGCCAGGCCTCATCTCCCGCCGCTCCCGCCGCCGGGCCGGCCCTTCACTCGCCCATGGCAGCGGGCCGAGGTCTCGCAGGCCCTCCCCACGCGCGCCCTCCGAGGCCGGCCTCACTAGGCCGCGAGCAGCGGCTCGGGCTGCGGCTCCCGCTCCGGCTGAGGAGGCGCGGGGTTACCCTGAGGTTGCAGCGTGAACGTTGCCAAGCCACGTCATCCGGCCGGGCCGGAGCGGCCCCCTCCCAGTGCGCCTGCGCCGAGGACCATCTCCTCCCCCTCCCTCTCAGCGCCTCCGCCCTCACCGCCCTTCACTACCCTCCCCCCACCAACCTTTGGAAAGGATTTAGAGTTCCCTGCCCGGCCCCACCCGCCCCACCCCGCCCCGCCTCTCCTCTCCTCTCCTCTATTCTGGCAAGTACTG